ACACACTTTCTTTTTCACTCGGCCTTTCTCTATATTCCTTCTCCGTGCATGTAGAGAGGGGCAATCTTCTGGACCAGGGAAGGCGAGAGACTGAAATTTCGAGGGAAGGTTCCCAGCTCATCTGCGACCGAAAATTGGCCTCCAGTTATGCGTGTTTATGATGTACGGCTCCGTGAAATTTTTTGGCGGGAAAATGGCTAACTCCGGGACCAGGGAAGATGGGAGGTTGAAACAATTAGGGAATGTTCCCAGCTCATTTCAACTTAAATTTGTCAAATTCAGCCCCCAGTTATGCGTGGGTGCGTCTGAATATTCGTTACTATTTATCACTATAATTCGCTAGATTAGTTTTTCGTTACTGCTTATTACGATAATTCATTAGTTATACTATTCATTATTATTTGTTACGATAATTCATTAGATTAGTTATTCATCACTGTTTGTTAATTCACTAGATTAATTATTCGTTACTATTTGTTACGATAATTCATTAGATTGGCTATTCGTTACTGTTTATTATTATGATTCGTCAGATTTGGTTATCCGTTATTATTTATTGCTATAACTCATTAGTTTTGCTATTCGTTATTATTTACGATAATTCATTAGATTACTTATTCGTCACTGTTTACCACGATCACTAGATTAGTTATTCGTCACTGTTTATTACGATAATGCATTGGATTAATTATTCGTCATTATTCATTATTATAATTCGTTAGATTAGGTTATCCGTTAGTATTTATTACTATAATTCATCAGATTAATTATTTGTCACTATTTGTTACAACAATTCATTAGATTAGTTGTTCGTTATTTGTTACGATAATTCATTAGACTAGCTACCATATTATTAATTATCATTGAACTGATTATAAAACTATCATGATCATCTAATGCTATGCTTTCTATTTACTGTTCGAAAAGAAGCAGATGTCGGGTTTGCCCCGCAAGCATATACCATTACCAGCTTACCACCGAAATTAATTAGACGTGCTTTTGGAAGATTTGGGGGGGGGGGGGGGGGGGGGGGGGGGGGGGGGGG